CTGGGCAAATAATAACATGTGGGGCCTGTGAACATACAGTTCAGCCTTGTGTTTGTGGGTGGGGGAAACATTACACTAGAGGTTTCCTGAGAGCCACTGTGCTGTCAGATTACCTTTTTTGTTCCCAATTTTTATTAAATATTCCTGGTAATAGAATTGTCTCCTATCCTCAGCTAAGCTATATCTCACTCCTCTCCTGATCCATTTGGTTATTATCTCGTAGGCTCACCATTCACTCCTGTGTGGGCTTCTCCCAGCTGAGTACTTTCACTCCTTCCTAACCAACCAGTTCCTTTTTAATCTGTAGCTCTGCTTTTCTGGTCAGTTTTGTTTGGCCAGTTTTTACTGTGTACAAAGAGGTTCTACTTAGCAGGATATACGGAACTTGAAAAATAAAAAGCAGTTGGTTAGTGGCTAACAAATACAATAGATAGCTAAAGCTAATGCCTGACTGAGCAAAGTGTTAGTGTATTTGTTACCCCCAGTAATGCTGACCAGACAGTTGTCAGTCATGTGGGAAAATGTTGGCTTCTGGTGCTCTTTTGGAACTGTGGCTCAGTTTTACAGAGTTGTTACCTTGCAAATTCCTGGGTCTTTTTGCCTAAGGTTTCTAACTTTTCATGACAGTATTTTTTCCTCTTAGATTCTTTGACTGTCAGTTGCTGCTGTCTTTACAACTCCACTTCTGCCTGTGTTTTTACTTATCTTGTGTGATGTTAGCTAACATACTTTCTTGCACCTTACCAAAAATATTCTCAGCTAAAGTCACGCAGTGGTACCACACCAATCTAGGCCTTGGATCACAGAGAGCTGAACCACAGGACTGAGGATTCTACACAGTCTTCCTCTGGTTGGTTATTTCTCTCTCCCTCCCCCCCAACAAATTTCCCTCTCAAAGTAACCATTTCTATTTTCTTATTGCCTTCCTTTCATGAATTCTCTTCTCAGTTTCTCCAGACTTAACTAGTTTTCAACAGAAGTTCTTCTGAGCAGCAGATGATTCTGTGCCCAAGAAGTTGTGAGTTCGCCAAAGGTCACCAAGTTGACTTGCTACTTATCTTTTTATCCTGGGAAGTATGTGAGGTTGACAGACCACGTTTATCTTGGGCTACAAACCTATTTGCAATTCTGGCTTGAATTGCTGAGTTAAAATAAATTAACAGCTGCTTTGCTTTTGCTTGGATGGCACAAACCACTGCAAAAATAGTAGTGAATCTGGTCTGTTCACTTATCTTGTAAGTAAATGCTAATAAATAACAGGTAGTAGAATACTGTGTGCTGTTTTCTTCCTCTCCTTATAAACACTTCAGATGTTCTGTATGTCTTATATAGACTGACCCTTGGTTTTTGGTTTTTTTTTTTTTTTTTTTTAAATAGTGGAATAACGAGAACCTGTCTTCCTTCAAATTTGCTTCTCAACACTTCCTCAATAAAAACACTTCAAGATTCTTTGAAGCTTAGTAGTAGGTGAACTTTTACTGCCAGCCCCAGCTTGCCATCACTGAGCTTTAACTTGGTCTCTTTCCTGATTTCCTATTTTCATGGAAAAGTAGTTAGCTAACTTTCAATATCTTCCCCTTTGTAAAGATTTTATTGAAGTTGGTTAGAAAGTTCAAAAGTTACCAGGTGCCCAGTGATTATGATAATTTTATTGTCTTGGGAAACAGCATTTCCCTGATGATTTAGTCAGTATTTGTTATAATGAATCCCGAGGGACCAAGCTGGACAGCTCTACACTCTTCTATCTTAACTGCAGAAAAACTTTCCGTTGTTTTATGCTTTCTTGTCTTATTAAGACATTGCATGTGTCAGCTTCTTGGTTTTGTGCAAATGTTTTTAAGAATCTGACAGTTATAATGGTCTGAATTAATACTGCAGTGTACGCATTCCAAATATGTAAAAACCATATGATGTTAACTTTTACTTTTATGGCCTGAAAGATAACATGTCAAATTTAAGATATTCAAAACCAGTAATTGGCAAGACAAAGAGATGGTAGTTAAATACTATGTTTGTCAGGTTATTCATTGACATTGCTTGTTCTCAGAAATTTGGAAAGTTTTCTTTCTGTTTGAAGTCATAAGAGAAATGAAAGGGCAAGGATTTTAGTTTTATGATAGTGCCTATGCACTCTGTTTCACATGTCCTTATTAAGGCACAATGAATTTCCAGATTTAGTTTCTTAAATTCATACTAAAGCTTCCCAAATTGCTATTAATTTATTAACATATGGGATATGTGTGCATGTACGCAGGATTTTCTCTCTCCATTTACTTCAGCCCCTCCATCCAGGATTCCTAGGCTCAAATCAGTGCTTTGAAACTTCTTCCGGTACTGAAAACAGAACTCAGCTGGAGAGGTGTTTCTGTCCATTGCAGATGGGGAAATAACAAACCTTAAAAATCAGTGGTTCTGATTAATATTTGATTTTTATTTCCTGTAGTTTTGTTTGTTGCAATGTGCTCAGCTATGGTGCGTTATCATGCCAACTAGTAGAGAGAAGTTCTGAGCGCAAGAAACTGGTATTTTTTTTTTTACTTTCACTGTTTTGTGATGTAGCAGGTGCTAGAACCAGATCTCATATCAGTGTGATTTTTATTTATTTATGGAGTTTGCTAAGCATGATTTGCACAAACACTTCAAGAAATCCAAGAGAAAACCAGAGAGCACTATTCAAGATGGGTGTTCCTGAATATTGTGGTTTAACCCAGCAGGCAGCTAAACACCACACAGCTGTTTGCTCACTCCCCAGTGGGCTGGGGGAGAGATTTGGGAAAGAAAAATTAAATTTGTAGGTTGAGATAAAGACAGTCTAATAGGATAGAAAAGTAAGGGAAAATAATATTAATGATAAAAGAAAATATAAAACAGCGATGCACAATGCAGTCGCTCACCACCTGCTGACCAATGAGTCCCTGAGCAGTGATTGCTGCCCCCTGGCCAATTCCCCCTGGTTTATATACTGAGCATGACATCCTATGGCATGGAATAGCCCCTGGGCCAGTTGGGGTCAGCTGTCCTGTCTGTGCCCCTTCCCAGCTTCTCGCTGGCAGAGCAGAGCAGCTGAAAAGTCCTTGACTAGTGTAAGCACTACTTAGCAACAACTAAACCATCATTGTGTTATCAACATTATTCTCATACTAAATCCAAAACACAGCACTATGCCAGCTACTAGGAAGAAAAATTAACTCTATCCCAGCCAAAACCAGGACACTGGAGAACTGATGAGTTTCAGCATGTTGGCAGTATTCAGCATTCAGAGAATCAGGCCAGTACTATCTCAGGTGCTGGTATGGGGACTCTGTAGTAATTGGTAGGTTTATTTCTGTAGTCTTTGCTCAATATTTTTCTCAAATGCAGTTTCTAGTAAGAGCAGTAAAACTTGTTTTTTCTCTGAATCTACAGAAATGAAGTCACATATAGCACTAGCCTGGCAAACTCTGGTGCACTTGAATAGTTCTCGCTCAATTCTGATTCAGGGAGCACATAAGAGCCTATATGTATGTAATTACAGTCCCTTCTGTTTGTATCTATTTCTATGAATATGCGTTACTTACTGATTGTATGTATTTCATACAAACCTTGTTGTCTATTTTTTTGATTTGAGAACTCCAAAGCTTATAAAAACACATACTTGGTTCAGGTAGCAAAACTCTTTGCATGACTTTAGCTTTGACTTTACTACCAGATCCTCTGAAGTAGATGTGCTAATAACGTTCCTGCATGAGGCCTCTCCACACTTCTTGCTTTTGAGTGAAGCTACACAGTGCTAAGGGTACTGTGAATTTTGTTTCAGAAGGCAATATTCTCTCCTTACTCTTGGTCAGAATTTATGTAGCAAAATTAAACAAAAATTACATGTTCCTGCACTCTCCCTTTCTATGTAGAAAACCTCTGTGAATCAAATGACTGCTTGGAGAAATGTACCCCATTCTTATACCAGGACTTAGGTAATTTAGGTATAGGTAGAAAGAATATTGCATAATAAAGGATTTAACTCTGGGGCAATATCAAATTTTGAGTGCCATATTTTTCTTTACTGTTGCACCCAAACTCTAGGACATGCTTAAGGCAGTTGTCAACAAAGGGCTGGTTTAATGAATATGTAGTCTTTGAATAGCTACATTTATTAATTTTCCTAATTTTAGCACAACCAAAATGATTAATTTTTGTGACTTTTGATCCATCTTTGGTTTCCAAACTGATACAGAGAGTTTAATGGGTCAAACGTTTATTTTAGCAGTTTGTGCTTGTGTGACAGGAGTTTTTCAGTGCTACTCTGTGTAGAGTGAGTTCTCTCAAGGTTGTGCCATCACTAGCAAAGCTCCTCACGTGATAATAGACTTTGAAACGCTTTTAGAAATGAGTTTAATGGAATTTTTTTTTCTCAGAGTAAGTCTAGGTGACAGACTGCTGAAAGTAAACTTGGGTGTTGGTCATCATTTTTCTAATTGTTAAATTTCATTTGCAAAACTTGATGTTGAAGAGCAGCATATTGTTGTCTACTGGCACAGGTACTAGCACCGTTGCATAGGTATATCGTATTTTATGTTGGAGTCAGATGTTTGAGTGTATGAGATTTTCATTCCATTAACTTACATTTATAATGAGAACAATATTTGATTCCCTTCTGTGACCAGGAATTATTTAATAGCAAGGACAGCAAAGTACATAGTAATATAAAAAGCAGTGACTAGAAAAGTTTAACATGGAGCCCCTAGCCTTGTTGCGTACAGCTAAAAGTAACGGTGTGGTTGCCAAGGGAATTATTTCAGAATTAAATGATTCAGAAGAACAGAAAGAGAGCATAATTCAAAATATGGAACATTCTGCATGATCTATAATAACTGACCTTCACTTCAAGGCATTAGGGCAACAAGGAGATGCCAAATTCATTGGCAATACTTGTGACTTGCCAAATAACTGCTTGAGTTTTAACTATTTTTTTTTTCCTGTATGTTTCAATATAGCCTGAGGGAATTTATGTCTTCATTTTGCAGGTCAAGCCTTAAAGGTATCAGCAGAGGCATTTACCAGTGATCCCTGCTATCTGCCTAAGAGGCAGGCTGTTGTCCAAGCAGCACGATCTCTGCTTGCAGCTGTCACAAGGCTTCTAATTCTGGCGGACATGGTTGATGTGGCATACTTACTGGAACATTTAACTGTGGTGAGTAGAATTTGACTTAGGTCAGACTCCCTTTAGCCAAAGAAGTGTCTGCTGATGGTTCTTTCTGCCTTGAAAATTCTTTTTGTACTTGGAAGTTGCATACCTCATGCAAGTAACACCTTGGCAATTGGTAAAACTGTAGATTCTAGATGAGGTTTGTAGAATGTACCAAAAAAAAAAAGGCTTCTACTTCTAACTCGATATATTTAATCTGGGGAAGCAGATGGTTATCTGTACAATTATATTTTAACGTCCTTTTATTTCTTATTTCATATTTTCTTACTTGAATTGTTGTACTTCTATAGCTTTTTATGCATGCAACCTTCATGATATTTGTGTCAATACTAGGGAATAATTTATCTGTAGAGAATCTTAGAGGTGGAATTTTATGTAGGTATTTATGGAGGGAAAGAACTGAGTAGATAAGGGTCTATCTCTGTATTCAAGTCAGTTTGTGAGAGAGATCAGCTAAGGGAGGAGATGTGCGAGAGGTGCCTCCAGCAACTCCCCAGCTCCAGCTATATATCCGTGCACTGCAGACAGAAGACTAGAAAGTTCTGATGTATACAAAGCTTTAAAAAATGTGCAGTAGAAAATATTCTCTAAAAGCCACTTAATTTTTCCACTCAAGGGAATAATGTGTTTTGGAAGTGTGTATCACAATAGTGCTGTGGTTTGATCACCTTTTTTTCCACTTGGGTCTCTTTAATCAGAAGGGATGGCTTCATTCTTGTATTCCCATTGAATTAGGCAAAATGTCCACACTTCTGGTGTTCAACGTCAAAATACTTTCCTGTCTACATAAACTTGAGTTCCTTTAATGTCAGCTGTAGTGTCCCATGTGAGCAGGCTTCCTTTTTTTTTTTTTTTTAGCAGTGTGATTTTAATCTTCCCAGCATCATGTGTCTGACCACAAAAATGAGTTTACTGAGTTTCTTCTCTGGATACTTACCCTGTTTAATCTGGTGTGCATCTGTGCTGGGAAGAGCAAGGAATTTTTGTTTCCTTTTTTTCCCTAATATCTTCAGTAATGTGTGACAGACTGATAAAAATTCAAAGTTCTGTTGACTTCTTAATGTTTCAGGGCAGAGGTGAATAATCAGTGCCACCTCTAATAATGCCTCATCCCACAAGAGGATCCGCTGACTTAAAGGGGACCATTGTGAAGCGAGTTCAGTTTGGTGAGGACAGGGGAATGAAAATTTAGCTCCCAATCAGAGTAGGAACAGTATTTCCTAATCAGACAATGTTGTGTGGGTTTCAGTGCTGTGTTTGAAACATCCAATGTTGACAATTGTTGGAGATGCAGTACAGGCTAAATGAAAACTGATTTGCAGAAGCTTCTGTGTTGTTCTGTATTTATGAAAGTTATCAGCTGTAAGAGGAGTGGTCTATGTCTTTTGTACTGCTTGTGGAAAATTTTCTTAAATGATGATATTTTTTATTGGTAGGCTATTACATTTTTGCATACGTATTTTCATAACCCTAGATGCACTCTTCTAAAATGTTTTCGGTATGTTTTACATGAGAGCACTAAAATTGGGTAGTTTCCTTTCCTAGAGTTTCAGTATTTCTAAAGAACTGTGTAATTCACTTCATGATTTCCATTTGAAAAGGAAAACAAACAGTAACTGAAAATCATACAAGAATGCAAAGAATCATTCAAGAAAAACTCCAACACTGCAAAGAATGCAATTAAGTTTTCTTCTTCTTCCATACTTTAATTTAGTTCTCTTAATAGGAGTGAGAACTTAATTCTTCAATTAACTCACAGTAAATTAGTGTGGCATAATACTATGCCTATGTAAAAAGACTCACCCTAGTTCTTAGAGGAAGGTGGTACTTTTTCCATATTTATTTAGTCTCTGCCCTGGCTGTTGAACTTGCCAACAGTGGTACTAACTGTAATGGTGTCTTTTTATGTTGGCATCTAATTAGGAAATAGACTTAGAAGATAGAGTAATTTCAGCATATGCTACTGAACAACCTTCAAATTATAACAACTTTTGGTAATGACTAACTTAGCCAGATTTAAATGCAATTAAATGCTTTAATGAGTCTCAACTTTGCTCTTTTCAAAGTCCTTCACATTTATTATAATTTAAAACTCCCTTAGGAATTCAGTTTTTCTTCAGTTGTGGACTTGCTCCAACAAAAAGACATTGTATTCATGCAGGGGGTGCAGCATAGAAAGTGGACCTTGTCTTTGCTATATCAGCTTTAATAATCTCGACGTTTGCATGCTCGTATGAGTTGAAAATCAACTCTCTTTCATTAGCAGTTTTTCTTTGAACTTCATCTAAAATTTTAATACTTCTACCATTTTATCCTCTTCTTCACAAAAACCATGGCTGTTACAGCTGTTATTAATCATTTAAGAGATGAGGAATTTCATTGCCCTTTATTTCCATAACTGAGCTCTATAATCATCGTAGAATAAAATGAAGAAATTTAAAGGACTGAGCCAAAATTAATTTTAAAAATGAACCCCCCCTCGAAGTAATAGTAAATGAAATGAAAATTCTAACCAAGGATCATTTTTTGTTTGTATGTGTAAAATGAAGGGAAGTGGTCCAGCGTCATCAAAGAACGCTTTAGAGTATTAATCAGACCTTATTCAATATGGAAGTATTTAATGTATGGTATTTATGTATCTAATACTTTTCAAACACATTTATCAAAAAGTGCTGAAAGTTTTTAGTCTTGCTCACTCAGTAAAGCTGGATAATTCCAACACTGACATTCAAAACATTAGAAACCATACTTACTTCTACTGACAGAATGCAGTCTGGATCATTAAACTTTAATTTCCTCTATAATATGTGAAAAAAAATAGAAAGGAAACAATGACAATGTGCCTAGCTGTCATATAAAGCCTCATCCAGTGTTTCCTGTCACATCTGCCATTCTAAGTATACCTAGGAAAAAACGTGAACCTCAACTACATCCTTTCAGTTTGTGTAGTCTATAAGAGTATTGTTTTCTGTGTATTTTAGACTTTGGGCTGTATTTCACTTCTGTGTAATAAAATCTTTATATAATGCTGAAAATACTGAGAGTTTTTAGGGTTTTTTTTTTTTTTTTTTTGGATACAAAGGTATCGAAATGCAACTTTTAAACTAGAAATAACAGGTCAGTCTATTTGGAAGAATTTGATAAACCTGGCAGGAATTTTACTCCAAATGTCCCAAACCATACCTTTGTGAACATGAGATTAACTTTTTTGAAACTTCACTAATGAAGTGGAGAGAATTTTTGTTGTTTCATGGATTCTATAGAATCTTCAGCCAGCAAAGTGTGTATCAAATAATGCATATTAGAAGCCAGTACAAATTCTCAGTGACTGATCATATTCTGCACACTACACTTCTAGCCGTTTGTGGAATTTACCGCCTTGTAAGAGTATGATGGTGCGGTGTGAGCAGCGAGCTCATTCCCAGTTGACTGGGAAAATAAAGTACATCATACTGACAAGAAAGGTTTTGCTTCTTTAAACAACTTAAATTTTTTTAAACAGAGAAGAGTTTGAATAAATAGCTGTCCGTATCTGAGTTTCCATACTCGGTTTAGAATTTGAAGTCTCTAGTCAAAAAACTGAGTGTGAAAAAATGTAGTCAGATGAAGGGTTATATCATGTATTGCACTCTTTGATTCAGAGCTGTATTACTAGCCTCATTCATTATGGTTAGTATTGCTCGATATTATTTAATTAAGTGAATTAATAGACTAATGGAATTGCTTGAATTTATTGATCAGAGGAGAACTGCAAGAAGGTAACAAGTTCTTAGAATTTCATTCAAAGCACATTGGCAGTCTGTCTTTTCCTAATCTATTTCAAATCATGCTGAGCCAACATGTTTTATCTGCCTTTTTTCCCTTCTTGTCATGCTCGCAGATTTACCGTGCAAGTCTTCATATTTTTCATGAACGCCTCAGACAGCGTGATCTTTATAAAATGCTTGCTTAGAGTTATTTAAAACTCTTGCTAGGAAAAAAAAAAAGAGAATGGCTACAGATAAGAAGCAACTTGTGAACTTGGGCCCTGTGGGCTTAGTGCTGTCTGTTCCTCCCTTCCCTGCAGAGTATTCATCAGCATTAAAAATGTTTTGAGCAGGAGAAAAACAGTATGGTTACATAAAAGAAGAGAGGTAAGTCATCTCAGGCTTACTTACGCTTTGGATTTAGGTATTTCATTTGATTCATGTAGCTCTGCTTAAATTAAAATTTGACTTGCTCACCGCATTACCTTCTGACTGTTTTGGTATTGTGGTATCATGCAGTGAAACGTTAAAAAATGGAAAAAGGGCAAAAAAGAATGTAGGCTACCCTGGGGGTGCAGGGCCAGGTTGTGAAACAGAAAATGATCAGAATCTTCCCCAGCTTCCCTTTGGTGGGCGTGGGTCACTCCCATGGCAAGAGAAATCTCTGAAAATAAGGGATGTGGAGATGATGATGACAGGAGTCTTTGGGAGAGGATCTAGCTTCTCCTTTAGTTCATACTCATATATATTTTTTCATCAACCATCAGAAATGGACTCTCGCTACCAATCTGAGGTCAGTATATGCCAGGTGGGATGCAGTTGTTTGTAATCAGGACTACAGTGTTTATCGTGGCACCCTGCAAATTCTGTGGCAGTCTGTAATGGGCAATAAATGACAAAGGAAAAGCAGCTCTTAAAGAATTACTTTTAAGAGTTGTGCTTTTCAAAGTGAACATCTTTTCGAGTTCAACCGCAACCTGGATCCACTTCTGTTCTTGGTATAGTGGCCTCTTGACGGCCGCTTTGTAACTCCCTAATGACTTGTGGCTTTACAACCCCCAGGGCTTCCCTTGAAACAGCCATATTCTTAATGACTCTCTTTTAACAAGCTGTTGCTAAGGAACAGACTCCCCAGTCTCTGCAGTTCTGTTTATATAATATCTGGTTTTGGTCTTAACATGGGAATCACTGAAAAAAAGAGCATTATCCTTTTCTTACTAGTCAGAAACGTAGCTTTGAAGGGACACTAATTGGCCAGCTTCAGGTACTACTGTTCCGGAATTTCTTTGAAGTGAGCAAGCCTGAAGGCTCCTGAACCTGTTTTACAAGAGCACAAGAAAACCAAATGGAATATAGTGGCTGTATTTCCAAGAGAAAAACACAGTTTCTGGGTTAAAAACACACTTAAATGAAAAGGTTTAAAAACAAATCCAATCCTTGCTTCTTTGCGGTGTAGAGCCTTCCCTTCAGTCTTATTTCTAGCTCAGTACCTCTCAGAGATTCGTATCTGCAATAGACTCTTCAGTGTTGTCTCTATGTGTATTGAAAACTTTTCTTTGCTGTCACATCTAAGACTTAGGTGTGGGTCAGCTCCCTCAGGAATTTCTACTTCTCAGGAATTGCCTAGTTTTGCTTCTGCCGTAGGTACCCTGTCTCCTGTCTGTCACTGTTTAGTGTGCTACCTAGTATCCTAGAAGGGTCTCCATGAGCAAAGCAGGCTTGGTAGGTTTCAGAGAGGATAATTTCCGTTTCTTCCAGAGTATCTGCATGATTTAGTGTACAGTAGGAGCAGACCCTCACCCTTAGTGGTGTCGGGGCAGAAAAATATACAGCCTTCCTCCCTGCTGCTCAGCCACTGCCTTTTTAATAGAGCCATGGTTCACAATAGCAAAGAAAATCATGTTTACCTACCTCACTCGGGGTGGGGGGGGGAAGAGATAGAATGAGAGAGAGGGAAAGCAAGGGAGGGAATAGATTGCCCTCTTAAAACTCCTAGGGAGCTAGTTTTGACATCTCTTGAAAACTGTGTATGTAGGGTGGGTAGACAGACCTGGGAAGGGAGGATATAATATTTTTTTATTATGAATTAAGAAAAGAAAAAGATTCCTGAAGCTGGGAACAGCTGCCTTGGACAACAGTGTTGCCTGTCTGTATTCCTGAGATTATGAGAAAGAATATAAGCAGCATCCTGTCAGTTACACAAACCCGGACAAAATAGGGATGAAAGCAAACTTATCTGGACTCACTTGGTCCTCAGCTTTATAGAAACTTTGCATAACCCAGGCATAAGGGGAAGGCTTATTTTAAATGGATAAGGCTTTCTTTAAGTAAGATGGATTTTTTTCTGGTTTGGTTTAACATACGTAGTATGTAAGAGATTTATGTACTAATCTTTTGTAAAAATAAATAATTGTAAAGTTGTGAGATATTTTCCAAATGAAGTAAGTTGTAAGCATAAAGCTTGGGGAGATCTATGATACAAAGGTAATTTGTAGCATAGGTTAACACGGAATGCATGAAGTTGCCAGAAGTACAACTGAGTTTGAGAAATCTGTATTATGTCTGGTGACGAAGTTTGAAAATTATTTGGGAAAGTTGGAAGGTGGGATATTAGAAAAGCAGACATCGGTTTTAAATTATTATTTGGATGCTCCAATCAGTGACTAGGATCCCATTGCAGTAGACTCTCTTTGAACCTATCGGGGGAAAAAAAGAGCATTGCTAAATTGTTTCCTTCTCAGTAGTTATTACTGTGTTTTGCTTCTACAGCAACACTTAACACTGAAGTGCAGTGCTTCTAAGAGAATAATACGGAAGTGATGCTCTGAAATTTCCTTCTATGAGTGCTAATCTTGGAAGGCAAATTCTAGGCTGGTAAAATAACCTTGGAAAATCAGTTTCTCTTGGCAGATTATTTATTGGTAGTATAGTAATGAAGTCAGTGTAATGTAGAGTGGCTTGTCTGATCAACAATTATTTGTATCTCAAGCATACACAGATCATTCTGATCTAGAGAAATTTATTCTATAACTTGCTCTTGCTTTGGGAGGCAAAAATGAGGAAATGCATGCAAAACAAACAGTATCTGCTTTATCATAAAAATGCATGTCTTCAGACCTTAAAATGAGAGCAAAATAATTTGATATTTTCTGAATGGAAAAAGCTGTGTGACCTACTCTCCATAAACCTCTCCAAAGAGGCACATTGCCCATTCCATTACAGCAAAATACTGGGAGAGCAACTATTTTCTCGTAAGTATGTGTGTTCAGTATTTGGAATTTAAAAGAGGTTTTGAATGTTTTTTTTTCCAACCGTATCTCCTGCTGATTTAAAATAGTACATTTAGTACAATTTATTCTTTTAAAGAAGCAGTACATTATTAAAACAGGAAGGTATTTTTTAATGAATGGCTTCCTTATGTCAGAATGGAAATAAAATTTGCTCCTCATGCTTAGTTCAACTCCTATTATTCCATACGAAAATAAAAAGAAATAGTTCACAAATGGATAACATAATTCAGTGCTATTTTGTTGCCCTTCACAATGCAAGATGATAATATTGATATTCAGAAAGACAAATACTCTTTCACTTCTGCAACTCTAGGCAAGCCAGAAAAGAGCCATTTCTCCTTGTTCTTGAGTAAGAGACTGACTTTTTGCAGCATTGACCCTAATTCTGAACCAAGTATGTAGAAGGAGATGAAGTAAAGGATGTGCAGCAGGCCATTTGATTACATCACCCTTACGACTTAGCTAGATCCCAGGCAAATGACATTAAAGGTATGTGGTTTGTCAAATAACATCATTCACAAACTGAAGCAGCAGTATCTGCTGCCTCCCATACCTATTTCTGTTTATACGGAGATTGTAAGGTTGTTATTACCAGGAATAAGACTGTCTACTTCTTGTTTAATGATGTCTCCTCCCACATCTCTGAATTATAAGCAATGAAGTACTTTGCACTGCATGTTTATAATCTCATATTTTTGTGGCCTGGTCTCCTGTTTAGCTGACAAGCTGTTAATTTTCATGGCTCATATTGAGGTTCCCAGGCTTGCTAAGGGAATCCCATTAAACTTGGAGAGAATTTTGTCTACCTCAGACCAAACAAGCTCAAACTTGTCTAGTGCAGAAGCAATTTTCCTGTGATTCCATAAAGGATGCTGTGAAGTGCAGCTGCAAAGTTACATTATTGAAGTGTAATAATTAAACTCTACTTTAAAAATTAGACAGAAACTGCCTTTAATATCATTACTTATTCCACAAATACTCATATTTGAGTTGATGGCAGTGAAAAGAGCATATGTATGTTTTCTTAAAATTGCTTGTTTGTTTTTTATTTACTTTTGAGTTAAATTTTAAAAAGTGTTTTTCCTTTGCATCTAAGGACAGACTTCTTCTAAGTGAATGTCTTGGCCATTACCCATCTATTTTACTGAAGTATATTACCCTTATAGTTACACATTTGATTTGTATTTACTGATCCTCACATGTTGGTTCTTATATCTCTTTCCAGAGAGGCAAATGCATTATTAATGTTAGGGAAGGAAGTGAGTGAGCTTGCTGGTAGAATTCCTGCCAAAGGAAGAATTGAAGCTATGGGATTAAGTACATCCTTAGGAGGAGGATGAGGATGATTCTACAACTGTGTTGTACTAACATGTTGATGATTAAAAAAAAAAAAAAAATGCTTATGTCCACTTAGTGAGTTTGGGAATTGTTAGAGATCTTTTCCCTGTATTACTCAACCCTGTAACAGGGTGCAGCAGCTTTGGGGTAATGTGTGGAGAAGAGTGTCATGGTTTGGAGCTGAGGGTATATGATGAATTTGTACAGCAATATTATGAGCAGTTTCTTACACAACTATAAAGAGGGAGCACTTTTGGTCAGCTTAAACCTTACTCAGGTCTTGCTTGCAGTTGTTGCAATTAGATTACTTCCACCTAATGGGGGTACCCGGGAATGGGAATTGGTGAAAGCAAGCTTTGCAAATTCAAGGTTTTTGGAGCAATTCTGGAGCAGAGAGAAAATCTGAAAACGACAGATACTACAAAAGGTGAAAGGTAATGAAGTCAAACAGAAAAGAATAGAGAGTCTTGTGGTTTTGTCTTAGTGTTTATATTCTGTCACCGATGTTGTTACAGAATTCAGTGAAGAAGGTTCATGATTTTCTGAAAGTAGCAAGGAAGCTATAGCTCCCATTCTCCTTTCACACAAATCTTAGCCTTTCTGTTACAGTTCCCTACAAGCTGGGTTGGTATTGTTCATCTCTTTGAAAAATATGAGTACTATTTTTAATAATAGGGTACATGTGAAAGAAGTTTTAATTTTAAAAGTAAGCTCTGTAACAAAGTATAATTTACATTGTCACAGCTTTCATACAGAATGTGAGCACATTGGCTAAGGTGAGTATCTGGTCTTGCAAATTACTCTTATGTAAATTAACTTGATAAGGAGTACCC